CACACACACACACACACACACACACACACACACACACACACACAACACACCCCCTACGGCGATACAAACATGCAAGTACACACACATACTCACACACACTAACACACACACACACACACACACACACACAGGCCTATGTAAAAGATAGTTTGTGTAATGAATATCATTGCACAAAATGCGATCAAAAGGCACTATAAAAATTAATGGGTCTCGTGGCGCTGTTTTAACAGGCTGGCGACTGCGAAAAGGCCGGACACTTGCCATCCCTTGTCCCCACTGCTTTAAAGATGGAGCTTTGACAATTTTGTAAGAGTGGGTCAACATGATTCTTCAAGCTATCGAAACCCAATGCAAAGAAAGACTTTATATATACATATGTATACCAAATATTCTGAATAATCTCTGCCATCTAAGGACAATCCGACTGTGGAACATCGTGGCTGGGAGAATACTGTCGGATCAAGACAGGCGTGTATGAGAAGCTTTTTATCGCTTTAGTTTGATAACCGCACATTCATTTGAAACATAAACTACAGGGGCGGATCCAGAGCTATTTTCTGACAGTCTTCCACATTACCAGTGTCTTTGTTAATCCTTCCTCCATTTTGACCGTCTTCCGACAGAAAAATTTAGATACCCGTCAATGTAAACTTGAAAATCTGACCGTCTTCCGGAAGACCTAGAAGACGGCCTAAATCCGCCCCTGTAATACTAAGCATGGTTTCTATATTTTGATGTTGTTTTTATTCTCAGTTGTATGTCCATGCATTTACGTCATTCAAATTCTACTAGTTTCTTTAGTAAAATATTTGTGTTATCTTAAACCACGTGGCAGGATCGAGGATTAATATCTAAACTAGCAGAGCAACAAAAAATAAATAAATAAATAAATAAATAAAAATAAAGATAAAAATAAATAAATAAAATAAATAAAGAAAGAAAGAAAGAAAAAGAAATCCATCAAACTTTTGATAAAGTGAATCAGATGTCACGAATAATTTATTTTCAGTATGTATTCAAAAGGGGTGGATTAAATTCCACAGTCCATAGACATTTCTTTCATTACCATTAATTGTATTCGTATAAATAGGTGGCATTCAATAAAAGAATAGATGCAGTTAATACATGGATGTGCTAAAAGTGATCCAAACAACCAAGACATTGGAAGTTTTTAGGGATTTTATTCACTGTATGATCATCTACACGTGTGCAAGCGATATTCTGACATGTTTCAAATATCCACTCGTCATGCCATCGGAAGACGCTTAATATCAATTAAGCTGGGATGATTATTTGGTTACCGGAAGCGCTTGCTACAATCCCGTGTTCCAAAAGATAGATAACGACAGGTTGAAGGTCGCTTAGACCTTCCACTGCTAAAATCCCCGGATTCTGAAAGAAATGTGAGAAACGACAGTGTTAGGTATAGATGACAGGTGGTAGTATTTGTCGAATGGCAGCTACTTGTGATGCTCCGCCTTCTTGGATTCACTGAATGACACAGTAATTGAATAACAACTGATATGAAATGACACATTAATGTATTCAAATGTATGCGTGTGTGTGTGTGTTTTTTTTTTTTTTTTTGAAGTAATACCACTCAATTCTTGGATGCATAAAAGTGAAACAAGCTATAAAAATCGACTCTAAGAACATAACTTGATTTAAAAGAAGACTTATTTAAAGTCAATATTTCAAGATCAAGTACTTATGTGCATGGCATATTAACGTTATAGCTCATGTACCTGGTATTGGATAATGATCACAACCACAGAGAAATGATTTTGTATATCAGCTCTAAGTGCGTCCATATCCGGTGTAGAATACACAGTTCTGCCTGTAAGATAAATAACAGTGACAGTGAACCAACAATTAGGTGTAGAATACACAGTTCTGCCTGTAAGATAAATAACAGTGACAGTGAACCAACAATTAGGTGTAGAATACACAGTTCTGCCTGTAAGATAAATAACAGTTACAGTGAACCAACAATTAGGTGTAGAATACACAGTTCTGCCTGTAAGATAAATAACAGTTACAGTGAACCAACAATTAGGTGTAGAATACACAGTTCTGCCTGTAAGATAAATAACAGTGACAGTGAACCAACAATTAGGTGTAGAATACACAGTTCTGCCTGTAAGATAAATAACAGTGACAGTGAACCAACAATTAGGTGTAGAATACACAGTTCTGCCTGTAAGATAAATAACAGTGACAGTAAACCAACAATTAGGTGTAGAATACACAGTTCTGCCTGTAAGATAAATAACAGTGACAGTATAATAAACCAACAATTAGGTGTAGAATACACAGTTCTGCCTGTAAGATAAATAACAGTGACAGTAAACCAACAATTAGGTGTAGAATTCACAGTTCTGCCTGTAAGATAAATAACAGTGACAGTAAACCAACAATTAGGTGTAGAATACACAGTTCTGCCTGTAAGATAAATAACAGTGACAGTAAACCAACAATTGAAGAATGACTCGTTTATCGATAACCTCACACTGGTCGTCAAACGATATCCCTTCCAATTTAATTTTTCAAGGCATACTACCCGCGTTTAATTTTTTAGCGTTTGTCTGTATATTCTACAAAGCTATTTTTTCTTAAAAAGATATAACCTCTTAAACAAAAGTACTTCATGTCCAACAAACAGACGAAAAAATCTCTTACCAAGTGAACAGAAAGCTACCAGGAAAAGTAAGACATACACCGCCTTCATGTTGGAATATCTGTAAGATAATAATAATAATAATAATAATAATAATATTTTGGGCCATTATTTTGGGAAGTAGTAATAATGTTACTAATCCTTTAATACTTATAGCTGTTTTCAGTAGTGCTTGAAAAAATCACAAGTTAACTTTTAAACTTAACCTGAAGTCAGTTTTGTTAAAAACATCAGAAGACTTCTACCAAGCAGTGTAATTTTTTGTGTTATTTTGTGTGGATTCATGTCTGCGTAAATGCGTTATATATATATTATGTTTTACCTAATACTAAATTGCATTTTCATTTATTTGCTGTATCATATATTTGATGAGGAATAAAAATTACCGTATTTAAAAGAGTACACAAAGACTGATACTTTAACACAATCGAAACCATTTATATACATGCAGTAACAAGTTTTTTAACCATGGTATTTCTACTATCCAATGCTGGCGAGAAGGTTACGATCTATAGAGCCAATTACCACTTCTTAAGGTGACGACTTTTTATCCACCTCAATTTGAGGTATGCCTGTGGTACGTATGATGAATAGTAAGATCTTGCAATGGGGTAACGACTTAGTCGGAACCTAAACTATAACAACATGATCACAAACTTACCGTTATGTCTCTTTGAAAGTAAACTGCACGCTTCGACAGGTGTCACTGACAAAAAACCTAGATGCATACTTATATATGGATTGCGTCTCTTGAAGATAAAATAAATTATCATGAAAAACTGTAAACCTCAGACTAATTTTTGCGGCTGTCTGGGGCATTAAGGTGTTATTTATTAGTTACATGTACCGGGTACCTATTGTAAACTCACAGAACCACTTTCATTAATCAATAGCTGTAGAAAAATCGACTCACATTCACCAGTCAATATTTCATCTGCTGACAGTCAGACTTCATCAGGGAAGTGAGGGCTGTGATACGAATTACTACCCATCACCCCTCAGGTGTGCTGGTTAAGTCAAGTGCCCCCCCTTCTTCTGCTGGCACCTCAATGCTGAGGAATACAAGATAGAGTAACATATATTAACTGTTAATTGACAGAACTATTTTACAATTGCAAAATGCAAAATTATTTCTAAGAAATTCATCGTATTAGCTGGGTCGGTCCAACTCTGAAGGGGATTTTCGCCAAAGTGCAATCAATGAAATCAGCTTAGTTTTCTGACACGTCTCCTCGAGCAGCTAGCCGGTAATTAACCACAGTGTGTTGATTAAGCTTATCCCACTGATTGCACTTTAGCGAGAACTCCTCGCAAAGTTGGACCGACCCAGCTAATACGGTGTGTGAATCTGAATGCGGCCAGAGCCCTAACTCGCAACCAGGCTCGGGTCAGGTAGTGCCACTGAATAACGTCACGTACTCCCCTACTCCCCAGTTGCTTAGATTCAATTTCTATTTAGGGATTTCTATTTAGTGAATTAAATAATTGATAGTTTCAGGTCACTAAATTATTAGTTTATTCATCTCTTACTTAAGAGGCGTTTTTGCCTACAGCTATTTACAAACGTTTAAAATGTTAAATGTTAAATGTTTATAAAATCAGATAGAAAAAAACTACCAAATGTAGAGATCACGTAGGCCTTAAACAAAATACATATGTCTCTTACCTAAGTCACAAATGAATTTCGATTAAATTGTTTTTTCTCCTCGTGAACATACGGATATCATGAGAAGTTTTCAATTCTGCATCTGCTGGGCGTTCCTCTAGCACCCGTGACTCGCCAAATGTAATTTTTAAGAAAATCGAAAGCTTTTATCAGGAGGTTGTCCATATTAACGAACTTTTACGGGTGTATTATAGAAAGTATTTTAACTAATGCGTTAATTGTACTGGTGTGGGCAGGCAAATGTAGAGGAAAAACAAACGGAAAAAGTTAATTTCGTCAACAAGTGATATAATTGGGACAGATTTTACTCCTGTTGAATCAAGTAATTTGAGAGGGTAGCAACTGAAACTGTCTATCATTAGTAACAGTTTCCATTGTGCTCAAAACCATGTAAATTTTGAACAAGCAACTATGAAGGGTAGTAAACAGTTTTTATAAAGCTTTTATCCTTCAGTCCTATTCTTTAAAAATACAGTTTAAACTTGTTTTTTTTTATACAACATTAACGTTTTAAAACGCTTTCAAGGGTCAATTTATTCCCGGTATTATATTTTTAAAATATTTATTGGCTAAATTAAGCTTAATATAATCTTAGCTTGTCCCCCCCCCCCCCCCCCCAAGACCATTGTCAAAACGATTTATGTACGCTCAACCTGTGTAATGATTAACTTGGAAATATTGTATGCTACGCAGAATTTCCCTACTTCTAATGCTTTACTCGTGATCTCCGATTTTTGGCATGACAAAACAGCGAACATATGGGTCAAAAAAGACCTTCACGTGACTGCTCTTTTGAAAGCATCCAATACTTCAGACTGACAATTTCGTTTTAGTATCAACTAAAAAGAGTTGTTTAATGTACCCATTGCTTGTTAACGTTTCTGGACAACGACAATGAAAACATTAAAAATTATACATTATTTAACTTTATACATAATACATTAATATAACATTATACATTGCTATGTTTATTATTTCAAATTCCTAATATAACCACAGTCGGGTAAGGAAACCACAGCATTTACATTTTCTGGAGAGCAATTAAGTGCACCATGTGCACACCTCCGCACAAATTTATGTAACGCATAACCATGAAATTAGGAAAAAAGACTTCTCAGTAGTTCTACATAGTAGCAGTAGAGAAGTTCTTGAAGGCGTACTTTTAAGAAAAAATGTGTAATTTGGTTAAATAAGGAAAGGCAAATTCTAAATACTAAGAATTAAGAACACAGAGATATGGGGCTATATTTTTAACATCTTGCTGTACTAAATGAGTCTTTTCTCCCATTTTTTAAACGTACGTATGAACCAAGCATCGATGGAGCGTGTATAACCTCAAACAGTAGGCTTTCTGTTACTTATATTGTAATTATGAAGACGGTACCAGGGAGCGGGATATTTGAGGCGTTTGTACGTGAGACGAGGGACGTGGCTTCTGTCTCCACAGAGAGCCAATACACTGTTATCACACCAATTATACGACTCAGTGTCTATGACAACAACTGTTGCTGTACAGAGGACAGTCGCATAAAGAAATACTGTCATTGTAAGGTGACACGAAGACAACTTCGCAGAAAGGTCGCCCCGAAAGATTATTAACAAAATTAAGGAGCGGTTGCATTTAAATCTTACACTGTTCACAGATTGTTACGGGTGGAGGTTAGAGAGTCAGGCGACATGAGCCAAATGAAACAAATTGAAAATGTGTTGTTATGTGTTCAGCTCAAGATTGTCAGCAAAGCGGTCCTGGACCTCTTTTGGATTACACTTTTTATCATTTAAAAATTATGCAGACTGGAGTATCTCATCATTCGGACAGAAAACTTCAAATATCAGGACTGAAGGAGACAGGGGTTATTCCGCATTTGAACTCGCAGATTTATCATTCTGTTTTTATTTTCTCAATGAATTTGCATCAGGTATGTCTATGGTATTAATGAGAAATCTGGTAACATTTCAGGGAATTTCTTAAAAATATGGTAGAATTTCCCTGAAATTTTAATTTTAAGGTGTCTATGTCGCCGAGAACCATTTAGCAAATCATAGGCAATACATTTTAAAATTGGTGGTCAATCTATAAATTTATTATTTTAAAAATTGGTGGCCAGTCTATAAATTGTATTATTTTCATTCATTAAAAGAAGAAAATATACGGACGAGCCAAATTTTAAAGAATAGTTAAATAAAAATCAAAATGGACATATAAAGTAGTACAGTAAAAAATGAAAGATAAAGGTAACATACAACTTTACAACCTATCATCCCCTCCGGCGTGCATATTTGGTGATTTCTATCACAACCTCATTCCATGATGAAGTCTGGCTGCAAGCAGACGATATTCGGTGGTAAGACCAGACAAATATATGTAGTTATAGACAAAAGAATCTTCACAAGTCTGTTAAAAGTATATTTTGAAGGCATTTTCAAGCCTTCCGTAATTTCCTTAAAGCTTTAGGTATGTATGAGGGAAACATATACCGTCAATAATACGATAGCGGTGGCCTAGTGCCAAACGTCGTTGATCGCCAACCACGGTGGAATGAGTTTGATTCCAAGTAAGTCACTTTTCTTTCTTGTATTTTTTAAATTTTATTGTTATAGATATAGATTAACATAAAATGATTGTTGATAATTTTTTTAAGCACCAGTAAGCAGGGTATAGAGGTTGGTTTATATTTTTTATTGTTAAAGCTTGGACATGTCAACGTTGAAGTTCAACATTGTTTCAACATTGGAACAGCATAATTTGCCCGTTGGGTGCGGTACTCGCTGTCCATCTTCGGGCAGGTAGCATTGAATGTCATGCTTCTTCCGAGAGTCAGCACATGTAGGCCTTTTAGAAGAGTTTACAACTCTGCTAAAATTGTGTTACAGCTTGCATGCACGCACACACACACACACACACACACACACACAGTGAAGGCTGAGATTGTTATCTTGAAAACTATATGGAAAAGCAATGGTCTTTGTGGTTAGTTCATTCGTGTATCCAAAAGCTCCAGCTTGTAAATGAAGAATTTTTTCGATTTTTATTAATGCCCGGCTTAATCTACTCTTATTTGCCTTGAACTCTTTTTCATTCACCTCTCTTGTTTATTTATTCATTTATTTTATATATTTATTTCTTAATTACTTATCTATTCGCCACTGTGAAAATTTTTCAGGTACAATCTCTGTTCATATGGGAAATGTACCACAGGCTGTTATGTTTTGATTTTGATGCTGTCTCAACCATGATTGTGACGGACTCCACAGAAATCACACAATTGTGTTAGTGAAGACAGAGCTTGAGACGGGGCTGGGATAAAGATGCTCTTAAAGTAAAGAAGTAATGGGTAGTGCTGGCAAGCTATTTTAGTTTAAGAGTTAATGTCGTGAATCTAACACAGGGTAAAGGCCTCTCATATACGATAAATGATTCGCAACCCTCTCTTTCAAGACTAGTTGCGCGGGTGATTTTTAAATTAAAATATTAAAAGATTAAAATACAAACTATGCACATATCCTGGCATAAGGGCACAACTGCTTAATTCTCCACCTTCAAAATTTGCGCTCACGTACTTGTCACAATAACGATAAAAGCCTCCAACAAGCTGTACACGGATACAAGCTGTGCTCACTGCGGTACAAGCTGTCCATCCTATAGGGCAGGTCGCGTTGAATGCTATGCTTTTTCCTCGAGAATCGGGACCGTCTTTCGAGTTCTTTCCCTTCCGTCCTAGGTGTTGTTATTTGTTATGTTGTTATTTGTCTTTTTTATCTTTTTTAAATTGGTTAGATTTTCTCTATAATGTGTTCGTGTGAAGCGATGAAGCGTATCCTTGCGTATATTTTATCACTATTTTGTTACGTTGTTCCCAGTGGTAATAAATGTATATACAATTGATCAACACAAGTCCAGAGTATTCTGGAAGGATCTAAAACACGGTGATAAGGCAAAACTGTGTTTTTCTCAGATTTAACCTATTTTCTGTGCTTCTTGAATAGATGTGAGAAATAGGATGTATCTCTACTGATGTTACTGCTATTACTGTTCAGTGGCGAGTAGG